GGGTTAGGGGGGGGTTAGAGGTTAGGGTTAGGGTGGAGGTTAGGGTGGAGGTTAGAGTGGAGGTTAGAGTGGGGGTTGGGGTGGGGGTTAGGTTTAAAATTAAGGCAATGTCTTAATTTCAACGCTTTTTACAATTAAGACATAGCCTTAATTTTCGGAAGAGATTGAGCTGTCTCAGAAGAGAGCAATAAGCGCAAAAGCCCTGGTAACAAGGATGGCAACTTTACTGAAAGTACCTTCTACAGGTTTTGTGAACTGCAGTCTCAGCTGTGTTACTTTAATTTGACTATAATTTTTTACCTGTGGATCCGGTGAATAAGTTTTCACAGCATAAATCAATGCTGATCGACCATCGCTATCTACGATGTTCAGGTGATCACCAATCAAAAAACTAAAATGATCAACCAATAAACTAACAACCTTCTGCATTCCTGTCCATACGGCCAACATCAAAGGTGTTTGTCCATTCTGAGTAATAAAAGATAACATATCACATACTTTTACAGGACAGGTGTAGAACCTTTCATACTTGTCTCACAGACCTAACCATCCAATCAGGGTCGTGCCTGTCATAAACATTTGAAATTACTCCAGACAATTAAATAGTTCAGTGGTTAGTGTTTCCATATATGGATAAAGGGTTAAGCACATGTATTATTGTATTTTTTGTGCCTTGAAAATATATTGTTGTTTTGTGTTTCGCGAGTGGTTTTATGCGAAAATGTAGGTCAAATTCGAATATTTATTACAGTGCCGACTGGCGGGTGTAATGCCACCCCCCCCCCCCCTCCCAAGAAAAGTCAGGAAGGGGGCCCAATTTTTCCAGAGGGGACCCCCAAATGAAACATTGGCAGATAGTTTGGTTAACCGGCATTTAATTAATCTCCCCTTGACGAGTAAAGTCATCCGGCGTTAGACAGAGTAAAATAACAAAAGCAGGGCGCATTTGGGTGGTAAAAGAAAGGTTAAGCAGTAAAACATCAAAAAAATTTCCGAACATTATATTTACATTTTTCTCTTTCGATAACGTGTTTGGTTAATTTTTCCTTAACGTTTTCGTATATTTCCCAAAATTTTTGCTACAATGGATGATTCCAGCGATAGACTAAATTTTAATCTCGGCAAGAAGAACAAAATCCATCATCACAGCTAGAAGGAGCATGTTAAAATTAGCAAAATTGCAAAGTGTGGTTGCGAAATGTTGTAAAATGAAGAAAATCCCTGCAAAATTTGCAAATTTTGTATTAATTTGTATTACGCACGGGAAAACGCACCACTTTCGGCCCAAATGTGATGCATTTTCCCCGGGCGTAATATAAATTAACACAAAATTTGCAAATTTCGCAGGGCTATGTTTTCCGCATTTTACAACATTTCGCAATCAAACTTTGCAATTTTACTAATTTTAACATGCTCTTTCTAGCTGTGGTGATGGATTTTGTTCTTCTTGCCGAGATCAATATTTAGGGACTGCTCATTATTTATTGTACAGGGGGAGACTAAAGAGAAATTCTACAGTTATAATATTTTTTCGTTGCCCCCAGGGCTCTTAAGACAAATAAAATTTTCAAAGACCCCTCCCCATCAGCCCCATCAGGCAAAACAAGAACATAAATTTTAATACCCACCCGAGCTCTTTATCTTTATTTAGAGAAACAAAAACTCTACCTCTTTATTTAGAGAAACAAAAATAGATAATGGGGACCAATAGACCAATCCCATTATAGACTAATTTTTTATCTTAGCAAAAAGTATATTCCCGGGAAGGGCATACTAAAATTAATAAAATTGCAAAGTTTAGTTGCGAAATGTTGTAAAATGTAGAAAATATATAGCCTTCCAAAGTTTGCAAATTTTGTATATACTTTTGTATTGCAATTTTCGCATGTATACAAAATTTGTATACAAAATTTGCAAACTTTCCTAGGCTATATTTTCCGTATTTTATAACATTTCGCAACCAAACTTTGAAATAATTTACTTATTTTAGTATGCTCTTTCTAGCAATGGTGATTTATTTGCATCAAGGCCGGATTTTGAGGGGAGGTGTGGAGAGGTGCGCACCTCCCCTGAGACTGATCGTTTTAACCTGAGTATCAGGCCGTACTTTTTAGGGCACAGGCACGCCTGATCGTGGGCGAAGGCGAGAAAAGTACGGCCTGACACAAAAGTGGCATTTTGCCTGGTTGTTCAGTCCAGAATCTGGACTGAGCGCTGATTGGCCGATTAGACAAACGATTTTTAAATCTGTCATTTGATTGGCTGGTGCATGCTAATTAGATTATACTATTGCTGTTGATATATTTTATAACAATCACAATTCACAACTACAATTATAGCCGGCCCACTAAACGGCTGAATTTAAATTAAAACTGCAGTAAAATTAGAAAATAATCGCAAATTAGCGAAATATATTGCAAATGTAGCTTATATTAAATCGCCATCAGATTGCACTATCGACTGACGTATAGTTATAAAGTATACTTTATAATTATACGTCAGTTTGTTGATAAATACGGCAAGCGCCATGTAAAGCTCATTGTAGTCACTGAAACCTCTGCGGAGGAGAGAGCAATCGGGTGGCGATTTAATATAAGCTACATTTGCAATATATTTCGCTAATTTGTGATTATTTTTGTTAATTTTATAAGTTCATTGCAGTTTTAATTTAAATTCAGCCGTTTAGTGGGCTGCCTATGCTATAATTAGATTGTTGTTGTCGTTGTGTGAAATTTAAATTTCTCCTGCGACATTTTGATTGGATACTAAATATAAACTTTGCTGTGGGCGGAAAGCGATCAGGTTAAGTTTTGTGTCAGGCTCTATTTGTAAAATAGAGCCTGATACTCAGGTTAGATCGTTTTGCACCTCCCATGAAAGGTCATGCACCTCCCCTTCGGAAAGTTTCAATGATGGAACAAAGTGAAAATGTGATGGTTGCTTAGGATCTACACTTCGTGACATAAGAAAGTTTTTCTGTAAAATTGAAACAGTGATAGCCATTCATCTCTGTGTCAAGTACCCTTTTAATGCAATGTTTTAAAAGAAACTTTGTAGCAATTGTAATGAAGGGCAAGATTGGAGTCATACATTCATAATTCATTAATACACTGATACATATGTACACTACATGCATACCTCACCTTGTTGATATTGACCTGTTCTACAATAAGCCTTAACTTTCCATGGGGGTTGTGAGCTAGACCGCTGCACCTCCCCTAAAATTTATTTTCACCAAATTTCGGTCTTGATTTGCATCTCTTTGCCTAGTTCTAAAATTAGTCTATAATGGGAATTGTCTATTTACATGAACATAAGAGACTTGGCTTCCATTTATGAATATTAGGTCTATAAACATTATTTGTTGTTAAGTTGTTTTGTGATGCATTTTAAAAACTACTAATGTTTTTTTCAAACTGGTAAATATTTTCAAAGCACCCCTTCTTTCGTCTCTCTGTATTTTATTCAAAGCCCCCCCTCTCAGGTTTTAAAAAATTTAAAGCCCCAGTTTCTCCTCAATCCCCCCTGTGCAATAAATAATGAGCGGTCCCTTAGTCTATAGCTGGAATCATCTATTATTAGTTTTTAATCAGTGGAACTCACATTTTTCGTTTTCTTCCTTCCTATCCATGTTTTGCCGACCACGAAAACAATTTCCCGACTGGGATTCAATAATTTACAGACTACCTGACAATTGGTAGGGGGTGACACCCCTGAACACAAATTGGATAATGTAGGTCTATTCTGCCATGTCTGTACCAACAAATACACATTCATTCTTACCCTATCCGTTACGTTTGGATTTGCTCCGCGATCCAAAAGAAATTCCACGATATTTTCACACACATCAATATCTATTTGTTCCATAACTACTGCTTCTATTGCATAATGGAGAGCCACCTTACCATCCTAAACCAAAATTTATTCAATTTAGCGACAGGGCGACTGCACAACAATCTGGCGGATGTCTTGCAATTCTGTATAAATGAACAACATTTGTGCACAGGCTTCGTTTAAGCAAAATTCAAGACTTTCGATGCACCAAAGCAGTATTTACAATGCAGTCGAATTCACTTGTGATTGGACGTCAAACCGTGGAGCCAGGATAATGCAAAAACTAATATCGACCACGTATCGACAGTGACATTATGATCAAATCTCCTAGTTTGTTCGCCACAACAGCATATGCCAATCACTGTGGGCCCTCGTACCTAACCAACCCTGTCAACTTTCCCTGTGGGAGGAAACCGGAGTACCCGGAGGAAACCGGAGTACCCGGAGAAAACCCACGACTTTCGGCAGAGCGTTGATTTTTACTCTTTGCACATGAGGACTGGTTTCAAGTCGCATTGAGAAGGCTCTCACTGAGGCTTGAACTTGCGAAAGGCAAGTGTGCTAACCACTTCGCCGCCACCGAAGCCCCATAATAATGGTTGACCAATGACCAGCTTATCAATATTTATATTGACAGCTTGTCTTGATTATTTCTGCATAATCAATCACATTACTTAGCTTTTGGTTATACCTAATTTTAGTGTGAAGTGATAACTAATTTGTGCAGTGATAAAGTGAAAGTGTGTAGTGATAAACAGCAAAAATGTGCTGTGATAAGTTTTGTTGTGATAAATTTTTATTAATTAAATTAATGTATACACTTTTTTGCCTGTCATCGTGAAGCCAAGAAAATGTTTTGTGTTCCTTCCTGATCAAGTATGGACAAAGCTTTAAAGCAAAACTTATGATGCATCAAATACACTCAGAGACACAACAAAAGACATTACATTAACAAGTTATATATTTTATATTATTTACATCTCATAGCGCAGAGCAATGCAATTTTTGCAAGATTTTTGTTGTCCAAATGTTTAGGTGAGAAAAGGAGCACACTTCCTTAATTGGCAAAAATGTACCAAAATAATTCGTCTGACCCCTCTAGTCAGTCGATTAAAAATCATGGGCAATTAACAAATCAAGAGGGTGAAGGGAAAATATTTTAACGAAAGGTGTGGTTACAAACTTCGAAAAATTCAATCTTTTAATTAACGAGTGGTTCCAGAGCAGATTGACTCACAAGTTCGGAGAAGAAAGGACTTTAATTTAAATTAAGTTGTTTTAAGTCTTCATGGAAAAGCGAGGGAAAGGATTTTACAAGTTGGAAAGATTGAATAAACATAAATATGTATAGTTGCGGCTTTAGAAGCGTTTGGCAATGGTCTTGCCCAGCTTCACCCGGCATCACAGCTGCCTACCTTTGCGTTATTGGTAAAGGGTAATATTAGATGATATACAGTATAGGGTGGGTTCAACGAAATGGCCCAAAAATCGATGAAAGTGAAGTAAATGACATAAACAAGTAAGTCCACCAATATTGTGAATCAGTGCTTATTTGGGCATTATTTTTTAACTATTTCACAATGTATGAAGTGTATATTAAAGCACATTCTCATGAATGATGTTTTTTATATCATGATATTGAACTAAAACCACCCCCAAATCACATAGAATACATAAAGGAAACTTACATAAAGGAATAATTATATTAATTACAGAATAGTTATAATTTATAATTTAATTAAAGTAAACTTTTAATGCAAAATATAATAAAATAAATAAATACCCACACAAAGCCTGGACCACCTGTGAGTCCAACCTGATACTCAGGATTTTCACATCTGACACCCTCCAAATTTCTGGGGGTAGCAGAAGTGAAAACCCTGGGTATCTGGTTGCTGTGAGTCAACTAAGGAACATACATACCTGGTCTGTGGTATTTAATTGCCGCGTAATTTGGGCTATCTTGTCTTGTAATTCAGCAAGTCTTCCATTGAATGCCAAGTTACAAACTTCCACATCAGATACGACTACAATATCCATAACTTTTATGTATAAAAATCTGAGGTAAAAGCACGATCGAACTATAAAAAATGTGAAAATAGAATGACACAGAATAGAGATAGAAATTTTTTTTTAAAACTTGCATTTGTCTAAATTACTGCGGAATATCAACATCTTGCATTGCAAACTTTCCAAATTACATGGCCTTACATGTATCAAGCATCGTGTTTGTTATGAATTTCGGAATTGCCGCTGTTATTTTCACATGGCACTGAGGAACTGCATGAGTATGTGTTGTTTGAGATGGATTTAATAGGGAGTGACTTGCCAGGCTAAAACGATACATAAATGTCCCAGCTACAACATGTGATGTGTTTCTTCTTGAATTTATGCAATTACAGATGAGCAATATTATTTTGAAGTGACTATATGACTGGCACAGTTTATCAAATACTTAATGGCCGGCAGTATAGTGACAAAAATTAAAGTTGAATTTTTATAAGATGAACTGATCCCAACCCCAAACCTTTCCTAACCCTAACTCTAACATTTTGAGAGTTACAGTAGAAAAGGCAGAAAAAAGTTTAAAAAATTTTAAGAAAAAAAATCTAAGTCAGACAAAACACAACCCAACCTGTGTTTCACTTTCTGCATGCAGTGCCTTTACCGTATATGCTAAAGGCAAGCTCTGTAAAAGTCTGTTTATACAATGCTATTGATCATAATTTTTACCTGTGTACATAATCACTTATAGATATTAATACAATAATACATATTATATACATAAACATTAGAACATATAACAATTGATGTTTGTGGTGTTACTTAGCCTGCAAACAGGCTCTTTGAATTGAATTAGAGCTTGCCGGTTTAATCAATAAAAACACGTCTGTGCCCATCACTATTTATAGTGTTGTCAATCAAATGTAAAATACAATGTGACACAGTGTGACCAGACTTTCTCAGCGGTTATTACCAAACGTTGTGCTGAAATTTTACCAAATTGGATTTTTTTTACCAAACACGTGCAAATTTCGCGTTTTGAAATTTCTGGCTGCGTGCAGTCATTGTACTCACATGTTGTTACACCCTTTTTGACCTTTTTCAAGGCGACAGCATAACGAAACCGTCAAATAATCATGTAAACATAATTTCTAGCACCTTTCTTGATATGAAAGCTAGCAATATAAATTATATACAGGGTCTGAAATTTATAATTTTCTCGGTATCCAACTGGGATACCAGCATTCAAAGTTTAGTATCCGCCCTGAGAATCCAGTATCCCACTTCTGGATACTGGTTACCGGTACCATAAGTATTATACCCTGTCCCACAGAATAAAGATCAGTAACAGAAGGGCCACTCAGCAGTGCAACATGTCCTTGTTTTTTTATGCAAAAATACGCCAGAAGGCGGAGCAGCCAGCCAGTACAGCATGTTTATTGGCCAGAAAATGTCATTGACTGGCTAGGAAAATGGCGGCCAACATGCGTAATGCGACATGCGCAAGGACAGAAACGTCAAAGCTTCCGACGTAAGTGGCCCTTCTATATGGATCTCTATTCTATGCCCTGTCCCATCCAAATAAGTTTCCATAACTCTCGCTATTATTACAAATTGCAGTAACAACAGGAGACTCAACAGTCAACAACTAAATAATTCATTAATACAATAAAATGCAATAAAATGCACATAATCCTTCAACAAAATTCCATATGCTAGTCCTCAATGAAGAAAGACTGGTATTGCCACGATACAGCGGTTCTTTAGGGCAGTTATATTCGTAGTTATAAGTTTTTTTGGTTTTTAAGAAGTCATTAAACAAGGGACATTATTTTTTTACATTTTACCAAAAAAATACTAAATTACTTGATTTTTTTGAAATTTTACCAAAACTTTTATCAAAATTTTATTTTACCAAAACCAAATTTTACCAAAAGTAAATTAATTTACCAAATCTGGTCACACTGATGTGACAAATTAATAGACACGCCTTACGTAATAGCCTGCCAATATATGTAAACAAAACGCATATCTCGATCTTAACGAGTTTCAATATTGTGCGAGCCAGCGAGCCATGCGAGCCAAGGTGCGAGCCATGCGAGCCAGGGTGCGAGCCATGCGAGCCATGCGCCAGAGTGCAAGCCACGCGAGCCAAGGTGCGAGCCATTATTTAAAATGGTTAACGAGTGAAATGTAATGAGTAAAATAATAGACAAAATTCAGAAACGAAATATAAACATAATCAAGAACCCAATTTCAATTACAGGAATTTTATAACTCAAATAACTCAATTACAAATTATCTGAAGGTGTTTTAAGATCTAATGGACAACCTGCATGTTAATAAACAAAATTAAAACCCAAGGAAAGAGAAGGGAATCAAATACCACAGCTAAAAAGAACATAATGAAATTAGCAAAATCGCAAAATTCGGCCGCAAAATGTTGCAAACCCTGGTAAACACAGTCCTGCAAAGTTTGCAAGCCTTGCATATGTTTGTATTACGTGCGGAAGTTGTTAGCATTTTCGGCAAATACAATATTGTAACATATACAAAACAATCATGCATGCAAACCCCACAAGGCTACACCTTCCGTATTCTACAACAATTCGCACTAACCAAACTTTGCATTTTCACCAGTTTTAACAAGTTCTTTACGGGAAGTTACTTTTTTACTTACAATCATAGACAAATTTACTCGGACAAACATGGCAAATAAATTATTTTTTTAAACATTTTCATATATACTTCGTAAGGTCGGTCCCCCCTCCCCTGAAACAATGTTGATCACTTCAGTCATTATGGCAACTATTGCCGTATTGCGGTATCTGTAGCAACAACATTGTAACGGGGGGGCGGGGAATACGGCTGACTAGTCGTGTAATTATTTGTGACGGGAAGCAGGGAATACGGCTGAATATGCGTATAATTAATTGATTGCTTTAAATTCCAGCCATTTTTAATCAGCGTCCGCATGTTATTTGTCTAGAATTGTAGATCAAAAATTAGTCTAACACGCAAGTTGCTTATTGTGTCCTGGAGATAAGATGTACTCAGTACCATTTGGTCAAGACCAATTTCTTATATTTATTTATTGCACATGGCTCGCACACATCGCGTGGCTCGCACCGATCTGTGGTGGCTCACAACATCGGCATGGCTCGCTGGCTCGCACTTTATGTATACCCGATCTTAACGCATGATTTTTTACAACATCTTTCTTTCAAACAACCCTGAAATTCCCTGAAGTAGCAATAGTAAGTGAATTCACATAAACACCGCAACAACTTGAGTTTGAACAACTACAGCGTACTAGAATGCAAAGTGTAGTTGCCTTTGTTTAATAGAGTATTAAAGATGCTATTGTTGATATAAGAACATTGCCGTTGTATTTGCCAAACTCTCTTATACAGCAAAAACATAATTTCTGTCTAGAATATTGTTAAGAACTTTTGACTGCATCCTTTAATTTTAAAAAAAGATTTAGTTTTCTATACAACTCGTCGTATAGAACGATATTTTTCGATTTGAATATATTGTTGTGTAAATTTAATTACCTTTCATGGCAGTATAATGTAGTTAATTCAATTTCAACCAATGGGAACCCTGCGTCGTTCTAAGCAACACACAGACGCGTTTTTATTAGCTAGGCCTGCAGGCTCTCTCTCAAATTTCAAAGAGAGTTCAAAGAGAGCCCGTTCGCAGGCTAGGTGTTACTCTGAGTGTGCATCCACACCGGGCAAGCTGAAAAGTTTGCCTGACCACGGTGGGAATCAAACCTGCGACCTTTGGGATACTAGTCCAATGCTCTACCAACTGAGCTATGTGGTCAAATCAGTTTGAATTGGCGATATTTCTTGTCTAGTTCCTTCTATATCAATGTATTCTAAGATATAATACTTTTTATGTGTGTTGATGTTATTACAAAAGTCACGAAATTGTGGGATCGCATAAAAAATTTGCATCACCGCCACTCGAACATACGTCTACGACTACACCTACATATTTTTGCATGTTTACAATTCAAATTTTAAATTAAACAGCCAATCGACGTTTAATTGTAATTGTTACCAAGAACTGGATTGGCTGTTCAAAATTAGAATTGTAAACATGCAAAAATATGTAGGTGCGGTCGTAGACGTTTGTGGGAGAGGCGGTGATACAAATTTTTGATGCAATTCCACAGTTCAGTGACTTTGATAATATGTACTCAGTCTCCAGGGTGGAAAGTTTGTATGTTGCGCCGAAGATCTTCGGCGTGGAAAATTTATAAATTTGCTCCATTTCTCATTTTTGGCGCAGAATAATGGGGAAATCAACTGGTGTGGCGTACTGGCGTACAAAAATTTATTTCGTTGTGCACACTACATTGTTCTCAACCATTTCTGTTTGTATTTCAGTCATTTAATGAAGGGAATTTGATTGAGCACTGACCGGACCGTATTTAAAATGCTTAGTATCTGTCTCATTCTAAAAGTGTTGACAATGCAACTCGGCGGCACATGTGAATATGTTTAAAACAGGATTTATGCAGCCACTGGCGCATGTTACTGAACCTTGATCAAATCTTCGGCGCACAAGAAACAAACTTTCCACCCTGGCTCAGTCTCAGGTGAATATGATGTTTGTGGTGTTTAAACTCTGAGTGTGTATCCACACCAGACAAGCTGAAAAGTTATCAACAACACTTACTGCATACAGTGTTTATAGTAAGAAAGAGCAAATAAATTCAGTCTTAATGCAATACTTACTTTTGCACAACTTGGGAAAATGCTATGAAGCTCGACTTTATTCACTGCTTTACTCAAACGAACGTCGTGTCACTTGGAGGCAAATTATACCACGCAAATAGGAGCTTTCCCAACGAAACATGGCTCATTTATAGTAAACCAATGTTAAGACTTTCTAAATAATCGAGAACAGCAGGCAAGACAACTTGTAAACCCTTCCATTGCGAATAATTACACAAATCTCACCTCGCCTTTATAAAAAAACCACAATAAAACAATGTCAAAATAAATTACTGTAATAAACAGTGCTCTCACAATCGAATTTTCGAATTCCTTAGAAAAAGCTCGAAAATTCCTCAGATTTCCTTAAAATCCTTAAATTGGTGCAAAAAGGTTTTTTCTCCTTTTTTGCTGTTTTTCAGTTTTTCAACCTTGTTTCTACGCACTAAAAACTGAAAAGATTTGATTGTTAGCATAATGCCATCTAGAAAACATTCAACATGATGTATTTTTGATCGGTATTGCATGAACAGAAGAGCTTAGAAAATCTGTAGATTTCAGAAGAAACAGCATTGTTTTATTATACATTTTGTGTTAAATAGATACAGCTTGCTAATCATCGCAGGCTCATTTGCAGATAACTCAGTTATCTGCTAGGAGATAACTGAATTTTCTGTAGGTTGCGTGATTGCGCGATTTAACTGTAAGCTCTTAGCCAGTCAAATTGCTTTTACCAACTACAACCATATGTATATTTCTGACATAGAGAACATACGAATATATGTAATTGACAAATTGTGTGCGTATAATGTTGCTACTTTCAAGTTTAAATCTCATTTGCGTGGCGTGATTATTCTCCGTCCAACGTTTTTAGTCCAGGATAAAAAGTTTCGGAAATTCCTTAAAAAAATCCTTAAAAACCTAAATTCCTTAAAAAAATCTTTAAAACTCTTCAAAATTCCTATTTTTAAGGATAATTCCTTAAAAGTGAGAGCACTGGTTATTACCAGTGCGCGCATGCGCGCGTTTCAATACTTCATGTAAGGTGAATATAATGGCTAAAACTGTCTGTACCAGTGTGTGGGTAGTACCAATGTGAAGAGGCTGTGCAGCCCTGTGCTGAGTGGTTATAATACTACCTCGAGTTTCTGCTTGTTTTTCATGTAGTAATGAAACCACTTAGCACAGCATTTTGAATCAGTAATGGTTTGAGATTTAAATTACACTGAACGCGTGTAACTGGACCGTGACAACAGTGTCGACCTTTTTGCAAATGACGCCATTTTTCATGATCAATAACACCTTCGCTCGAAATGTCGAAGTTTCACTTGTATTTTTCAGGTAGTTGAGTTGCTATCCATCTCAATTTTTTAGTATGGTATGGTACAATATAGTATGGGATAGAATTAAAGGCAATGCATGATGGTATCGTATATGATATGGTATGATGTGTGTCGTGTGGTATGGTATGATGTATGATGAGTGTCGGTATTTTTACCAACATTCTTTTTTTTCCAATGCTATATAGTACCATGAATATACTCTCAAAGATAATACCCGTATTAAAGTTGACTAAAAAACTTGGGATACTCGACAAGTTTCTCTCCTCCGCACAACGACTTTTCTTCAAAAAAAGAATCAAATCAAATCTTTATTCACCACACATTTACGAATACACAATAATACACAAGTAAAATACGTAAATACGTGACGAGGGGATCTCTAGAAGCCGCAGTCTCGAAGGCTTTTAAACCAGGTCACCGTAAGTAAATAACACTATAATGTTGACTACAGACAGTGCTGTTCACCTTGTCTCTATTTATGGTATAATTGTGGTATTTTCAATGTTTTGCACACCAGGATAGCGGTAATATCCTGCCATATAAACTAATTTACCATTGTACTTGAATAATACGCTGCCTGGTCGATCGTAAATCACAGTCAGACATCTCAGCATGGCGTTCCTAATTAAAACTATAATTTGCTGTTAATTTGTTTTATCTGCAGCTTAATTAGCATTGCAAAGAATTGAAAGGTTAGCCGGTATAGTTAGTAGTTCACTGATATCATGGAATGAAAAAACGTGCGATTCTTGCAGTTAGGAGAAAGCATTAAAATTTTATCTCCATATACATATTTGGCAGTACAATTTAATGTTTTTTCTAACATTAAACAGTCTTTTACTTTAACACTAAACACTTTCGAAAAAACAGGAAAAAACACTGAACATAAAACCCCATTATAAGAAGTTATATTGATAAACAGACAGCTATAGAATAATTACGGATTGTGAGGGATACAACAAACTGAAAAATACAAGCATACAGTAACTTCGATGTTTCAAGAAAAGCCGAAAGGCCCTTCCTAGGTACAACAAGTGTATGGCAAAACACTTTGTACAGAATAGCAAAATAGCGCAGGTTTACAAGATAATCGAACCCCCGCGTCCCCACTTCAAATAGGGAACTTAAGATACGCCGAACCTATACGACGCGGACGTGACGAGAAACTGCCGCTATTATCACAGTTTCACTTCACTGGTAAAAAGTATGAATTGTTGTTGGTAAACAAAGCCAGGGACACGAGAAAAACAAAGTAAAACCAGTCTCCAATTATTAGCGACTGTTTTTTAGTCGCGTCCGTGTCGCAGACTCGCAGATTTGGTGAATCCTTATAAGCTCCCTGTTGTTTGGTCAAAAACGAGCGCAAGACGTTGCTTGCTAAAGGCCCAACATTGTTTAGGGAGGGGGGGAGGAGGGGGGGGAGGAGAGGGAGGGATGGTGTTACTGTGCTGAACAGCATTTCGAAATGTGCAGTTATCTACATAGTATATCACTGTCCAAAAGCTTTTTGTAACTCGTTGTATAGCTATCCATGTTATCGCCTCCATACCTACACTAGCACAGACAACAAGCTTATTGTACAAACTTGAGTGCACACGCATAATCACTTTACCACGAAAGCTCGACCATTTATAACAGGCAATAATCAATATAGCTTTTGCTGGTAGGGAAAGCTCATATTATTAAGACTAGCCTGAAATAGAACGCGACCTCTTGCTAATTGACTGTTTATAGAAGTGGTTACTGGTTATAGCGACTTGCATGCCTGACGGAGTGATGCTGCTTATATTTTCTCTTGTATAATTATACAGGCTTTTCATCCCCAAGAAACAGACAATATCAGACAGCAGACAACAATTAATGGATATGTCTCTCCTTCCATTTATGTGCAGATCTATACATGGAAACATATAATCACATAAATCTCAATATCATGACTATAAACGCGGCATGTGATGACGATGAAGGTGAGTCATCTTCTAAAAATAATAATTCAAACCGCATCCGCATTATTCTGCCGGTATATTTACCTTTATTGATACTTTTTGGTTTTAAAATTATTATAAAAAGGAAGTTTACAGTTATTAATCTTTGCGTCCTAATCAGGAAATGATTTCATTAGTGAAGTTTGGTCACGCAAACATTAGAATGTGTCTTTTACTGCTAAGCACCGCGTCAGATCCGAATCTATAAAGGCCCGTTTACACTTGCAATTTCTGATTTTCTGCTGCGATTTCTAGTGCAATATTCGTCTTCTGATGCATGTGAACGAGTAAATAAGTTATCAATGTTCTGAGTATACATTATGTTCACCGATGTATCCTCATCTGAACATTCATAACTCATCCACTCGTTCACATCCATCAGAAGAAGAAAATCACCTGATCTGTGACCTGACATTCATGTGAGAAGTCGGCAAAAACCTGAAAACCACAATAAAATATTGAATTGACGCCACGTCATGGCGAAATTCCTTGCATCCGGATACAAAGTACTTTTGATATTGATTCAAGATTTTGTGCTTTGACAGCTTCTTAACAGCCCCGCCTTCACTAATCCAAAATCTCAAGTAACCAAGTACCGTGTTTCTTTCATAAACAAAGACTTTATGGATATTCTCTATCTAAGTTAATGTTACCGCAACAAATAATACGGATTGCTTCACTGGATCATTACATGTTGAAGGTTTTTTGTAGATGGAAGATCAACCCTAACAATGTTTAGTTCTACCTCGAGAAATCCTTGGTATTTACTCAAAGGATTAGTACCTGTTATAGTGCTGTCGTCAATATACATTAACATTTAACATGACCTGCAGACATTTGCCTGAAAGATTTTTCTATGTCGCTCTTTTCCGATCAGATGAAAGACACAAGGTTAAAAAAAAAAACAAGACTCAATATATTTTCCTGTAGTCACCTTATTCTCATGAGACAAGAACTGTAACTTCTAACAATATTGGTCAAAATTTATTGACAAGTCACGATCACGAGATCATTACAGGGTATCACTGAGCTATGTGGTATTGAATTAGGCTTGGCGACTTGAAAATTATTTGAGCATTTTTTCCTCTACTTTTGTTGCTATACATGCAAGAATTTTCGGTAATACTTCAGTATTTCAATAAAATACAAAATAATTGTAACTCGGAACAATTTCATTTTCAATTTAATATCGCGACCTTTCGGCTAATATTCGGAAAATGAAATTGTTCGGAGTTAGCTACTATTATTTTGTGCTGCCTTTGGAATACGTCTTAGCAAAAGATTTGTATGTTTTCAGGGTTCAGCAGCAGTGATAGCCATTCCCATGCACCTATGGCTATGCCTCAAAAAGTCGGTTTACACTATATCGAAGTGTGTTTTTCGAAAGAGGTTTACACAATCTGCAATCACAAACTTTGATGAAAGAAATTCCGACAGCATAAACCAAGTACCACCTTAAGTCTTCAAAAAAAGTTTACACTGTCACACATGCGCTTTGACCAACAAAACTTTGATAGAGTCAACCAACCTTAAGTCTTTAAAAGAGGTTTACATAGTTACACGTTGATCAGGCTTAAAGAACTATGAAGAGGTTTAAGTCCCATATTCAATCTATTCACCAACGAATAGCAACATGCCGGACAAAAGGTTAAGGTTTGGAGCGACGATGCCGGATAAAAAGCTTGAATAAAGTGAAACCTGATGCAAACATCAGCCAATATTACCAAACTTGCTCTTCACACAAATCTAACAATGTTGCATCCGTCACATCGTTAGTATTCAAAATCATTAATAAAATCCACTCTATATATAAATACTTTAAAAATATACTATATATATATATATATATATATATATATATATATATATATATATATATATATATATATATATATATATATATATATATATATATATAGTATATAGTATATATATATATATAGTATATATATATAGTATATATATATAGTATATATATATATATATAGTATATATATATATATATATATATATATATATATATATATATATATATATATATATATATATATATATATATATATATATATATATATATATATATATATATTGCTGTACCAAAAACTGTACTATTTCTTGTGGTAATCACCACATATAGTATATACATATTATATATTCTCACAACGCATGTTCACTCAAATTTGGATATATTATAATTAGGGACAGTATATATATCTGCATCTTCAATTCATTGGAGTTCCAATTTCACATTCTTTTTTACAGTGTCAGTGTCATAAATATCTTCGATTGTTTGGGCTTTTCAACGCGGGCTTTTCTTCTATAGTCTGCATCTTACCACAAAACGGCAAATTAGTCCTCTATAGATTACAGTAGTTATCTGCAGGTGTCCAGCTGAATTCAATGCCATCCATGCAATTCCACACGTTTAACAATGTTATAAATATACTTCGCTCGTTGGCATTTTAGCACTAACGTTTCTTCTATAAAGACAGCATTTATCTCCACCAAATCGTAACCATGGCGCCCATATATAGGCTAAAATTTCAAAAGCACTTAACTTTAATTGAGGCTTGAGAGTTTTCAGTTTTGAATATATCAATTACATTCGCTTTCAAAATATACTGAACTGTTGTCTGTTGTGTATATAAATCCTTCGATTTGAATATTTTCAATATTAAGTCTTGTTTCTTTTTGGGGATTTGTCCTCGGATTATTTACAAGCATAACAAGCCCACGGGTATTGTATAATTACAACCAAGTTTACTTTAATGTTCCCATATTTTTGAATATATTAGTTTATGAATATTACAAAACCAAGTCACAATGGCAATCATCATCAACCTCTTGTGTGCTAAATCTTCGAACTCTTATATTCTTTTCCACTGAAAACAGCCGATCTAGGTACCACCTCACAATTCTAAGGAATGCGTTATTTCTTATATTAGGATTCCTTCATAACTACCCGTTGAACCTTTTCGGCTCCGACTCCGTTTCTTTTTACTGCTGCGGTTTCGTCTCAGTGGTTTCGGGGTCTTTTCTTCATTCGAGTCCTTTAAATGCTCTCCTCGGCATTGAGCAATCATTCTGCCAAGAGTTTTTAACCCTTCAACGAAACCCTCTCCGACATAGGCCGACGTCGGTTCGACATGCCATAAATGTCGTTCGTTTAACGCACTCAAGTTCAATTCGTTCGCCAACATGTCGGGCGACAAAGCTCCGATGCAGTCCTGTTTGTTGGCGAGAACTAATACCGGTACTTGATTCAATTTTGCCGACTCTGAGTTCAACAGATTGAATAGTTCGTGTCGTGCCTCTTCAAAACGGCTCGAGTCTGTACTATCTACAACGAACACGACTCCTTCGGTTTTACGAACGTACGCTTTCCATAGCGGACGGTTCGATTCCCTTCCTCCGATGTCCCAAATTTTATACTTCAGTTTCTTCGTTGCGTTTACACACTCCACGTTAAAAGCCATCGTCGGATGTACTTTGATAAGTTCTTTAAGCTTCGCCTTGTACATCAGACTTGTCTTTCCCGAGTTGTCTAATCCAACCATAACTACATGACACGGCGACGAAACTGCCGAAGCCAGTCGGTCTAGGGAAACCACTAAGAGATTCCCCATACTGTTGATTTAAAATTATACTTCTGTATACGAAGAAATTACAAAACAATTCCGATCTCCGACACGAGACTTGACCTCTTTGATTTTCAATCAAACGCTGAGCACGCCAAGGTAACCTTAGAAACATAGAAGATTGACGACATTCGATACGTGTTATCTACAAGACAGCTTCATTTCATTTTCAACTTGTCAAGATATTTGTACGCTATACTACAAACGGTTTTCGCCGACTTCTCGCTGATACGTGGGCGATTAAGCTGCTTTGACAGCCTATTGCGATTGGTCATTTACATTTGTAAAGTATATTATGCTGAAATATTCAAATTGAGGATGCAGGCGTAGGATCTGTCACCGGACTCCCTGTCGTGCATGTACGCCAGCGCTCGACTGGTGCTATACAAAAGAGAGCTAAATATATACTTTATCAACATTGCCACCAGAAGGCAGGTTTCATTGGATAATTCTGTGAGGTTATGAAAAAATATTTCATAATATAATCTTAATCTGATACTGCATAGAGAAATGAAAATTTCATCACATAATTCTAAGCAATAATAATAAAAAGTGAATTAAGTGAATGTGCTATATATACAATCATACAGAGTCTGTAGTCACTGAGAGATGTTTCTTTGAAAATATTTGGGTAGTAAAAATCAGACGTATACTGTAAATTTTAAGGATTTAAATCAATTCCAAAGGTGTAATACTGTGATCAAAAACGGTAGCAGGATAACACAGTTTGTCTTTTAAGACAACCCCATACAATCTTGATTTTTGTTAGTTATCTGTTTTAGTCAGTGCAGTAGATGAGAATTTTTACATGGCCGTACGGCAGTACTTCACTACCTCCCCTTGCGATAGTAACTCTGACACTGCAGAAAGAAATGAAAAATTCATTGTCTCGAGCGCAATTCGAACTTGCACCTTCAAGTTTCTAGGAAGCCTGCAAGGTTATATTACAGAATCATCCTCAGAGAAACATCAAGAGAAAATTTACAACATGATTTCTAGCACTGCTGAAGCCAACAAAAGTTGGCTCGACAGGAGTTGAACTCGCACCTTGGCGACTCGGCCTGCCACTTTACCTATTGAGATATTGAGCTCAAATCCCGCTCAGTGAACTTTTACAGTGGACTTCGACAGCGTAACAAATCATGTTCAAAATTTTCTCTGATTGAGCAGAATGCGTATTTGGCAAAGTCCGATTTTGGTATACATAAGTTTGAAGGGAAAAAGTACGAGTTCTTTCCAATTAACGTTTTGACCTCTTGTCTGGATCAGGGAAAGCTCATTGCGAAAGATGCTCGCTCGAAATAACCTCAGCTAGGTTCTCATATGTGATCTGAGATGACGATGAATAATTTGTTGTCTCGACTCTCAAAATATATTTCATCTCAAACTTTCTAATCTTTTCCCGATATAATCACATTCAGATATAATCAAACATTATAACGGATTAATCTCAGATATAATTTCTGATATAATCAAACTCAGATAAGTTAGAGTTATAAACCCGAATTGAAATTCGAATTTGAAGTGCACGAAATATTTTGATGAATCAATCTCAAAATGTAAATTTGGCATAGTTGTGGCACATTATGAAAAATTCAAAGATATTTACTGATAAGCAACTGGAAATGACGTCATTTGCTCTGGATGACGCCATTCTATAGAAAACACACCTTTTAAGGCCGTTTTCCACTAGGCGAATTTTTTCGC